GAGCAACCAGGTAGATGTCTTTGACATAGATTAGCGAGCCATCACCATTACCAGAAGGGCTATTATTATGAAACATGCTGTGGCTCAATATCCCAAACAATGTGTCTGGCATCGCCACTGAACACCATCTGTTATTAATACTACATCAGATGAATACTACTAATACCACTACTACTTACTACTACTACTTTGCAGAACTAGAAACAGTAAACAACATCGAACCAGGAATTATCCTAAGGAGTGGTTCATCCAGAGGATGAAACAGGTATATGTCTTTGACATAGATTAGACCACGTTTACCAGAAGTGTGGTCATGATGAGAGATGTTATAACCCAACTGCCCAAACATTGGGACTTGGACTCTCACATCTGGCGGGAACGGGTTTTTGGGTCAAGAACAACTGGCACAGCCAGGAGAATAATGATAGCGTAGGAGAGTGTTATGTAGTTAATTAATTTGTAAATGCTAAAAATAAACCAGTAGCAGATGCATAAATAATCGGTGTCCTGTAGCTTTTATAGTGCCATTGTTTACTGTAACCATGGTAGCAGTTGCCCGGAATTTCCAAATGCATAAATGGGTCGAAAGCGGAAGGGCTAATTTTTGTCATGGCGGGAAAGGGTTTTGCTACCGTTATCCTCGGTAACAGCCAACTTTGTTTGAGTGGCTGCAGAATATCTTCTTAAATTTGGTGGTATTAAGGTGCGGGGAAATAGCAAATAATGATTTAGGGATTTGCTTTGTGAAAACGGTTATAATAAATTAGGGTGAGGACTATACGCGTAGTTGAAGTTCACGGCGTAATGGAAAGCAGGCAAATGCTAAATAAAAGTGTAGTGTAAACGGCTGATTTATGGAGCAAAGAAGTGTAAATATAATTGTTTCACGCATTTAAAGTTTATTCTTGCAATACTTTACTTGCTTGGATAAGGGTATTCACATCTGAAGGTAACGACCTGTGAGAGCGACGTCCTCTTGAGTGTTACGTTCCACTGTGATCTTCTGGGCGAAGAAAAGCGAATAAAGATCGTTTCTGGAGAATCATTTAGTGAATATTTGGACTTCATCTTCCATGGCGTCCAAATGCTTGTCCTGTAGTAAAGGTGTCACCACTCGTTCCAAAGCAGTGCAGTGCTCTGAATGTGATGGGTGGATGCACATCGCCTGCTGCGGCATCTGTCCTGATCAATATGTGCACTTGCAGCGATTCACCTCGCCTGCCATTAATTTCTTTTGCGACAACTGCCGTGCCTCACTGAATTGCAGGCGTCTTCTCGCCGGACTATCTGCGTTGAGCATTGATTCTTCTTCTCCGACGAAGCCTGATACGATTCACGATTCATCTGCTCCACCGTGCTCACCATCAACATCTACCTCCGGTTGGATCACCCCCATAGGCAAGCGAAGTCGAACCACGTCCACTACGCATACGGATCCATCTACACAGATCCTGCCCACTGATCCCACCACAAGATCTTATGCGGCAGTTGTGAGGGAAAGCGCGGTCTCTGTTCCTATTTGCAAAAGCCCGACTACAAGTGGCGTCAAGTCCAGGCCTAAGCCCGTCGAGAAACCCAAACCTAAGCTATCATCTCAGTCTCAAATGAAGCTTGTTCTCGACAGACTATCTGAGCTTGAGAAAGCTGTCAAGGAAAATCCGCCCCGTAGCAAGCCACATGTTCCTGAACGTACCCAGCCATCTCGCGACCGTTGTCTTATCATCATGAACGCAGCGGAATCGGAAAAACCAACCCCTGCAGAAAGAATACTAGATGACCAAACACTGCTTGAGCGATTGGTCTCATTGCTATTTGATAAAGGCGAACAGGGAATCAATATTGTATCTGCCTTCCGTCTTGGTAAAAAACAAGAGGATATCTCGAGAAATCGCCCCCTTAAAATCGTTTGCCGGGATGAGGAGGAATGCCGACGCATCCTGCGAAGGACCTCGCGTCTCAAAGGCGAGCCATTCTATGTACTTCGTGACCTCTCACCAGAAGATCGAGTCAAAATGAAAAAGGCCGTAGAAGAACTACGTACAAGACGGGGAAGTGGTGAAACAGACCTCCATATTGTGGATTTTCGAGTAGTTCGAAGGACTCCGAAAACCCGTTGGAGGCCCATTCTCCTCACCCCCGGACAATAAACTATAAGGTCCCGCTGGAAACCACTGTTCGTCCTCCCCGGGACTTAAAAACAATGAGAAAGAATGGACTACAGGTGTTGGTTGCAAATGTCCGTAGTCTCAGAAACAAATTTGACGAGGTACACGCTCTTACCGCAAAGCTACTTCCTGACCTGTTGGCCTTCACTGAGACCTGGCTCACTTCAGACATCTCCGACTCTGAGATCCACATCTCAGGATACCAACTTTTCCGTACTGACCGATCTGGAGCTAGAGTTGGTGGTGGTGTAGTTCTCTACTGGAAAGAGGATCTTAAAGTTCATCTCGTAGAAGCCGTCAGCGACGCTGTTGGTGGCGCAGAGCTACTCTGGTGTAGGATCAACGATGGCTTCAAATCCCTTATGGTTGGCGTCATCTACAAAGCCCCGTGGGGACATGGTACTTCTGTACTAGACTTTATCAACTCGCATGGAAACCGCAGAGATTGTCTTATTGTGGGCGACTTCAATGCCCCGCATGTCAATTGGGATCTACTACACTGCCACCTTTCACCCGAGTCATTTGACACCAACCTCCTTGAAACTGTCCTCAAAACGAATCTCACCCAGCATATAACATCGCCCACCAGGCTTCTTCCCGGCCAGACTCCGCACATTCTTGATCTTGTGCTCACTCCGTCTCTGGCAGATGTCTCAGAATTGACCCTTCTACCACCCATAGGCAAAAGCGACCATTGTACAATCTCCTTCCTATGGACTAAACGTCTAGCTATCCGAACCCGGAGCGCACACCGTCGCAACTTCTGGCGAACCGACGCATTCAAGCTAAGGGTGGCAGCAGGTACATTGGACTGGAATGTTCCACAACACTTAGATCTCGATGCTGCTTGGAACGATTTATTCCGCAAATTGAAGCTCCTCATCGAGGAGGCCGTCCCACTCAAGAGGAACAGGCCTCTTTCTAAGGGTCCCCCTGGATCGACCGAGAACTCAGGGCCAACATGAAACAACGACGAAAACTATGGGACAGATTCAAGCTTTCCCGCTTAGACTCAGACTACTCTAAATACAAAGCCATCAGGAACTTCTGCTCCCTGCAGAAACGTGAAAAGAGACAACAATACGAACATAGCCTGGCCGAACAATCTCTCTCTAGGCCAAAGATACTATTTTCATACCTTAATAGATCCTCCAAGACGGGCTGTGGAATTCCTGCATTGTCTACTAATGAGCCAGATATGATACACTATGATGATGACGCCAAAGCTGACCTCTTGGCTCTACAGTTCTCCTCAGTATATACGAAGGGAGACAAACTCGCAAACCCTCATGTAGTTGCACATACAGTACCTCTGGAACATATCGATATCGATGCAGGTGCTACCTTGAAGCTACTACTAGAACTGAACTCCTCTTCCTCACCAGGCCCAGACGGGTTACATCCACATTTTCTCAAGATGGTTGCAGAATTCATTGCCGTCCCACTTTGTCAAATCTTTCAGCTCTCTCTTAAAGCTGGTCGACTACCTGTCGATTGGAAGACGGGTGTAGTTATGCCGAAATACAAAGGTGGAAACCGCCAGGACCCTGCGAACTATCGGCCAATTTGCCTGACGTCGGTCGCCTGCAAGATCATGGAAAAGCTCATTAAATCTGCTCTCCACCGACACTGCGAAGATCTGAACTTCACCTCAGTCACTCAGCATGGCTTCCGAAAGGGGCACTCCTGCATCACTAACCTGTTGGTCGCTAGAGAGAAGTGGGCTAAATCAGTGGACGCTGGAAAACGTTTAGATGTGGTCTTCATCGACTTCAGCAAAGCTTTTGACAGAGTCCCACATCAGGAACTACTCTCTAAGCTCGGCGGAATTGGCGTGACAGGGAACCTCCTACTATGGATCAGTGACTTCTTGCAAGGCCGGAACATGCAAGTCAAAGTAAACGATACCCTCTCATTCCCCGTGCCTATGTATAGTGGCGTACCACAAGGCTCCGTTCTCGGACCGGAATTGTTCAAGATATATATCAATGATCTACCAAGTATGCTACAAACGGACTGTCTGATCTATGCAGACGATCTCAAGCTATGGTCGGAAGTGTCCCGCCTCGAAGACGCCGACCAATTACAGGAAACGCTTGATCTACTACACTCTTGGTCTATCAAGTGGGGTTTGCCGGTCAACAAAGATAAATGCTCAGTCCTTTCTATAGGTGCTGCTGAACCACTGGGCATCTATCACATTGGCGGGCACCTACTCAAGATTGCCACACAGGAAAAGGACCTGGGGACAATAATCTCCTCTGATCTCAAAACGACCCTTGACACGTTAAAGAAAACTGCTGCGGCGAACAGGATGTGGGGCGCCATAAGGAGATCATTCTCTAAAATGACGCCGCAGATATTTAGACTTCTCTTCACCTCCCATATCCGTCCCATTCTTGAATTCGGACATCCGGCCATAGCCCCTTTATCTAAACATGAAAGTGACAAGATAGAAAAAATTCAGCGACGAGCCTCGAAATTTGTCCTTGGGCTACGCAACCTCCCGTACCCCACCCGCCTACAGAGGATGAACCTTTTTCCCTTAGACTATCGCCGACGTCGCGGAGACCTCATCTATACCAGGCGCATCCTACGAGGAGAACTGGGAAACGAGCTAAGGCAGTTCTTTCAGCTAAGACTTGGCAGCTCGACTCGAGGTCACAGCTGGAAGCTTTTTAAACCGAGGAGGCTCAAAGTCCGCTCAGATGTTGCTCTCTCTACTCGAGTGATTAATGATTGGAACCGACTGCCGGACCCGATTGTCAATGCGCAATCAGAAGCGAGTTTCAAACGTTTGCTAGACATCTTCCTACTGAGTACTCCAGGATCCTGCAGGGCTGATATTACATCCTGAGCCATGACAGCCAACTCGCCTGCAATCCTTGGAAGATCGGGAAGCGAAGGAGCTGACACGGGACCCCCCTTCTGCTCTCTACCAGGTCGTAAGTGGCACTGGACGCTCTGTGCGAATAATACGTAACTAAACGGGGGCATGGATACGTGAGCGGATAAGGCAGTAAGAGACAACTAGCGCTGACAGCTATGCGCATACATAATTTTTACATAAATGTGCGACTGGTTTACGGAATGCGTATGTATAAAGGAACGTTGACGCCGAAAACCGTCACAGTTGCATGTACTGCATATTGCCCTGCGCGGCTTTGTGCTTAGGGAGGAACACGTAAGTTGAGTGGATCTAAGGTGACATGGAAGTCAAACATCTACCAGGTCGGTCTCTGGTCAATGTGTGGTGCCTTAATGCTCACAACGGCGGAATGGGCTTTCATATGGTGTATAAGTACTTGATGAAACATGCTATATATACAGAGGATTAAGGTTAATTGTGCATACATTCATGTATACATAATGGGTTCTGAAAGTGAATGCGTATATTTATTTATAGATAAATGCATTTCTACTTTTGTAACTTT